CTGAAATTCAATGACCTCCAGAACCTCAAGATGACAATTTTTGGTAAAATGAAAATGGCTTCTTTGCTTCCAATAACTTAAAATTATGTAGGCCTATTTGTATATATCTAAAGCTGTCTGTCTATACAGAAAGACAAAGATGAGGTAAATGACAGATATATGGACAGAAGAATTGACAAGGCAAGATGCTGATAAGTTTTACTTTTTTTTTTTCAGATTCTATACTAAGATCTTTTAAAAATTCTACTATAAAAGAACTGGAAAAGGGGACAAGTGAATGGCTTGCCATGTCTGGTGACCGTGCAGGGGGGAGAAAAAGAAGAGAGGGCCCCAGCAAACAGCTACAGAATCATAAAGAGGCGGAGTGATTATTTTAAGCATCAGCCCCCCCCCCCCCCAATCCCAAGTAAAACAAAATTGCACACCTTCATTAATGGTATTTTTAAAAAAATCAATTTTTAATAAAAGTATAAGTTTATTCAAAATAACATAAATGCCTTAGTGATAGTGTTTACTACATTGTAAATCTGTGAAAATGCTGAATTTTTTTAACAAATACTATTACCCCTGTTATGTATATGTATAAATTAAGTATTTTGTTTGAATGTTATTTTTACTTACCATAGTAGTACATGACAGCTTCTGTATTCTTGTACAGTAAATTAAGTTTTTACATTCGTTTAATTTTAACTGTACTTAACAGCTGTTACATTATATGAAAATTTTTGTATATTTGTTTTTAATTTGTTTGTATAAAATTAAAAGTCAACATGAAAGCTACTACACTACTATTTACATATTCATTTTCTATCAGTACTTTATAATATAGTTATAGTTTTCTTACATTTGAATGAATTGTATAATACATATTTTAATAGATGAACAGTTTTTTGTGAATGTATTGCTGCTTTATTACATTTTGATTAAAGTTTCTATCACATTTTGAAATTAACTTTGTAAATACTATGACTGATATGAGAATGGAGTTTTTTGTATGTAAAAAATCATAATTTGAGCCTATTTGAGGCCAGGTTATAATACAGGATGAGCCAAGGTATAGCCAAAATATAGCCATTATTGGGCCAAGATATAGCCAGGATAAAATACACAATGAGCCAAGATATAGCCAAGATATAGCCATTATTGGGCCAAGATATAGCCATTATTGGGCCAAGATATAGCCATTATTGGGCCAAGATATAGCCATTATTGGGCCAAGATATAGCCATTATTGGGCCAAGATATAGCCAATATTGGGCCAAGATGTAGCCAATATTGGGCCAAGATATAGCCAATATTGGGCCAAGATATAGCCAATATTTGGCCAAGATATAGCCAATATTGGGCCAAGATATAGCCAATATTTGGCCAAGATATAGCCAATGTTGGGCCAATATGTAGCCGGGATATAGCCAATATTGTGCCAACATTGCGCCAACATCATGCCGAGTTTCACTACCAATGTTTGGCCAAGGTTAAGCCAATGTTGCACCAAGATGTAGCCAATATTGGTAACCAATGTTTAGCCAATATTGGGCCAATATATGTGTGCTGACTGGGTTATCTCATTGGGCCTAATTTATACTTTTTTTTCTCTCTGTTAGGGGAAGTACACGTCACCCAACTAACAAAAAAAATAAAATGACGCCATTGCTTTGAGGCGCGTGACCGACTGTCGTCGTTCTGCCAGCAGTCTGAACTGTTGTTTGTTGGAATCGAAACGAGTGAGTTGTTAAAAACAAATAATAATAATAAAAAGTCTAGACAGAACAGTAGTTGGTTTTGATTTGGTTCTTCGGCACTGAACCTAGACGTATTTGAAATCTTTTTTTTTATTTATGTACTCACTAATTATGCATGGCCATCAGACAAGAGTTGTCCGGTTCCATCCAAGGCCACGGAGGGGCGTGCCAAGGGAGGCGGGGCCTCCAAACGGCTGGGTTCATTTTCTATCCCAAGGTTAAAAAAAAAAAATGATGATGTTGTCACCCACTCATGTTTACATTGGAAATATTCACCCTACAGCGTAGGGCGTGAAAAATAGTCTTCTAAGACTCATTATAATGCTCCTCTCCACGGATATCTTTAGTAAAAAAATATGTTAATTTTTTTTTTTTTTTTTTTTTAAATATGTTCATTCATTTTTTTTTTTTTTTTAAATATGTTCATTTTTTTTTTTAATTGAAAATTAAATATTTTATTTCAGTATGATAAAAATGATAACAAGTAAGAAATAATAAATGGACAAGTTAACAATAGCTCAAGCTACAGTATCCACCAGAACCCCCATATAATCATGACCATCCATCCATTGCACTCAGTCAAACATACACTGACACAAGGATATATTTCAACATTCCCAAACAAAAATAGACAACATCCATGTTTAAGAGATTATTTATTCTTAGATCACCTGTCATCACTAGCAAGTGCTAACACACTACCTACATTAGTCCAATCTATGCCATGATGAAAATATGGATGTGTACACCAAACTTGCTTTTTTTTTTTGTTTTTTTTTTGTTTTTATTTCGGCCATCTTGAAGTAAAAAAAAAATACGCCATTTAGTATCATCTAAGTAACAATTCTTCATCTGAAATCTTCTTAATTATAGCATTTTGTATTTAATGCGACTAATGTTTTTATATTTTTATTTAGAGTCTAATAATAATTAAAAATTGAAATGTATATATAATTTTTAGATACAATCTTTTTATTAAGTATAAAATACTTAAAAATAATATCATAATAATAAATAAATTTTCTTTTAAAATTTTTAAACTGCTTTATTCTATATTTATAATGACATTAGAAACATAAGGGCTCAAATTGTTTCCCTTATATATTTTGAATAATTATATAAACCAACAATTTAAAATATTCAAATTTTACAAATCTATTTTCAACCTTTTAATATGTATAAACACAGATTCGAGAAAATAATAGGATTACTATAAAATAACAAATTGCAGAGGCGTAGCGACCCTTCCCGGCGCCCGGGGACAAACTTTTCGATTTGTACCCCCCCCCCCCCCCCCCGAGATTTCGATTTGCACCTCCCCCTCAAACTTTCGATTTGCACCCCCCTCAACCTTTCAATTTATGTTTCCAACCCATTTTGGCGCCCCCTAAGGTCGGCGCCCGGGGACATGTGTCCCCCCCCCCCCCGCCCCCCCTCTCGCTACGCTTCTGACAAATTGTATGGAGTTTCAGACCTGATAAAATAGATTGTAAGCATTTTTTAAAGAAGGAATGTAAGTGGATTTTTAAATATATTTGCAAAATTTATTATTAAAATAAATCATCTAGCACGTTTATTAAATGCACTAGGTTTAGTCTTGTGGATATGGCAACAATATCGGTGTAGTATTGATTAAATATGTAGAGAATTCTATGAAGAAATTTAGGTCAAAACATTTTCTAAAACTGAATTATTTAAATGTAAACAAAGCAGGCGTTATATATTTGGATCTTAATTGGTGGGTTTTTCCACACAACGTCCCTAAGACTGCACATTCGGTTAAATCAACAACTATAGTAGCCCATTGTATCCACAGATTATCGCTCTCTTTAAAATGAGCGTAGGTGCTATGGTAGTCACAGGGGAGCCAGGGGCGCCCAATCACACCCTGCTGCGGAGCCCCCCTCCAAATTTATTTTTCTTGCAGAAACCTTCAAAGTTTCAGGGCAACAAAGGTGTAGTAGGGTATAAAAGACATAAAACTGACAGACAAAAATACTTTAATTTAGATACATGTAAGACAAAAATACTTTAATTTAGATACATGTAAGACAAAAATACTTTAATTTAGATACATGTAAGACAAAAATACTTTAATTTAGATATATGTAAGTTGAAAACATTAGTTAAAAAAACTAAACGCGTTAGGTCTAGAAAAACAATAGGCCAGCCAAGTTTTGGTTCATTATTAAAAGTATGAAAATAATTTTAATATGAAAGTTCGACCATTGCATGCTCAAAAGGCGTTCATTACAAATTAAAGACACAACTTTAAAATATGAATTGCAATAGGTTTTATACTTTCATTAATAGAGTTAGGGCTAAACGTTTTTAATACAAATTAAAGACACAACTTTAACATATGAAATGCATTCTCTTCTTCTTCGTTCTTAATTTTTAGTGTTAGAAGGGATCGAGCCTTATCTGCCAGAGGGTTTGAACTCGAGACTTTTTCAAATTTATCAACCATGAGCTTTTGTCGACTCGACCACGCCTCCATCACAATTAAGCTTACGTGTCAACTGGTTATGCGCCATTGAGGCCATTGACTCCGATTTCAGCCTGCTTTTCAGCTTTTGTCCAACCAAGAACAAACTACAAGGCAACAGTTGTTTGATTTGGAGTTGTCTCTTCTAGAAGAGCGGCTGTCCTTGAACATTGTCAGATAAAAATGTACAATCTCTCATCTCATAATCTCTTCCCAAAGGCGTCCTAATCATCATCATCATCATCATCATCATCATCATCATCATCATCATCTTCATCATCATCATCATCATGATCATCACCATCATTCCTGTGGATGCATTGTGAAGCTTAGGAACGAAACCGCACCGCTCCTTTAAACTCTGTTCGATGCCATTCCTCCAACTTCAGTCCATGACATTCCGGATGCTTCTGCTTCTCTTACGACTGACCTTTTCCAAGTTTGTTTTGGCCTACCTACTTTCCTCTTTCCTAGGCAAGGTACTTAAAATAATTGTGTGGACTCAAGAAGTCTACCGCCCCCCCCCCCCCTCCAAACGAAATGGAATTTATATAGAAAACATATACTTTTACCAGTGTCCGCCTCCCCCCGAAAATATCAAGTGCCCCTCCGGAGAAAAAAAGTCTTGAAGAAACATTGTTTAAGTTTAGTACCAACCCTCCAACTTTCAATAACAAAGTTAGGGCGAAAAGTTTTTAATACAAATTAAAACACTACTTTGTAATAATTTTTCAATCAGGTCTAGGCTATCTCTAACTAAGACATGAGAGTAGATAGCGACAGGAGATATTGAAGATACTCCAGCTTGTTTGTTGGTCGTGTGTCGTGTTGGTGTACTTGGCAAGTGTACAAACAACCGCTATGTTGTGGTTGCGATCGTCTGTGGTTCTTCTTGTTCTCTGGTGTACGTGTACACGTGTGGATTGTGTACAAACATGCGGCTATCAGGTAAATGACAGGCAACTATTTTATTAGGTAAAAAAATGGATTTTGTTTTGTAAAACATAAGTTTTAATTAAAAACAAGGCTTTTGTTTTAGCACAACATGGATTTGGTTTGTTTTAATAAAATATGGTTTTGGTTTTTTTTTTGTAAAACATGGCTTTTTGAAAATTGAACATCGATTTTTTAGTAAAACATGGTATTTGTTCTTTTTTTGGGAGGTAAAATTTGTGTTTATTAAATCAATTGCATAACCAATTGAAATAATATTAAATTAAGGAGATCAATTGACAATTTTGACGTATAAATTATTTTAATATTAATGCCATTTCTTATATTAAACCTATTATTTAAAGTGCATGCTAATTAGACAATTTAGCAATATCGCTATTCTACTTGCTATCTATTTCAAACCATTGACCTTAAGTTCGATAAAACGAAACAATACAATGCATCCATCTCTTGATTAGACGATAAAAGCTAGACGCCCAGCACAGCAAATTAAAAAGTAGAACTTGTGGAAAGTAAAGCAAAGTAGTAATCTTCAACAAGTCGTACGTTGATACAGATTAGCAACACAGGACACATATATCTAGAATATAATGTGCCGATAAGATACGCACAATTTTTTGATTGTATGGTGATCGTTGATGGTCATTCGTTATCGTTCTTGGTCCCAACATGAAATAACACTAGAATAAACACAAATGACTTCGGTTTTAAAAGGCTAATACTGATAAACCACCGTGTTAAAATAGTTCAATATGTAAACCTTTCACACACACACACACACAGACACACACTCACACACAAACACAGAGACACACACAGACACACACTGTATTACACTGACACACACACACTAAACATATTATATATATATATATATATATATATATATATATATATATATATATATATATATATATATATATATATATATACAGAGCTGCAATGCCGAAAAACCTGGAATGATAAACGTCCATATCGTACCCCACTCACACGATGACGTAGGCTGGCTTGTCACGGTAGATCAGTATTACTATCAATGTAAGTTGCAAGTTCAGTATCGGTATGTTAAACGGTACTTTAGTACTACACTCAATGCAGATTTTGTTTTATGCAAAACGGTCGAACACTGATTGTGTATTTTGTAAAACGATCGAACACTGATTGTGTTTTATGCAAAATGGTCGAAAACAATTACTATTAAATTATTAGCAAAGTGTCTGTATTGTAAAATGGTCGACCACCATTACTGTCAATGTAGCATTTTAAATGGTAAAAGTGGTGCGCGTGGTCGAGTCGGTACAGCTCGTGGTTGCTAAATGAGGGCAGATGAGGCTCGTTAGCTGGGGACAGCCACTTTTCTAGGAGAGAACTCCAAAATTAAATAACTGCCGCTTTGTAGTTTGTTCTTGGTTGGACAAATGCTATGGAAGCAAATCCAAATTGAAAAGCAAGCTGAAATCGGAGTAAATGGCATCAATGGCGCATAACCAGTTGACACGTAAACTTAATTGTGTTGGAGGGGATCCCTTCCAACACTAAAATTAAGAACAAAGAAGTAGAAGAAAAAGGTGTAAAAAAAAACAATAAAACACGGACGATCACCATTGCTGTCAGTGTAATTTAGACGTTTTGTTTCGTTTTGTGACTCGCTAAATTGTAAAAAAAAAAAAAAAAAAAAAAAAACAATCCTAATTTGTTGGACTGGAAATTAAAATTGGATTGAAAATATAAATTAATATAATTAAACTGTAATCATAATGTATTACTCTCGCTAAAAACATTTGTTTTTAAAAGTTGCAGTAAATTGTTATTCTCTGTGCACCCAACGCTTGCAGCCGTACAGTTTATCCTGGACAGTGTCCTAGCTGAGCTGACCCTCGACCCCACCAAAAGGTTCATCGTTGTTGAGGTCGCCTATTTTTATCGCTGGGTTAACGAGCTGAGCCTGGAGCAGCACCAACAAGTGTTTGACCTAGTTAATGAAGGTAGAGTTGACCCAATTAATCGGTTCATTATCAGATTAATGGATGGACGGGGTGGGGATGCTAATTAATGGATTAATTATTTTAACACATAACTATACTTCTGTTAATTACATGCAATACTTCTTTTTTTAAATGCATGTGTCAATTTATTGGTAACTATTTTAATTAAATTTTTTTTGTTTATCTGATTGTCACTATGTTCGAACAGTTTAACGTTTTAAAAACAATCCAATAAAGGATAGGGGTCGTCCATAAATGACGTCATACTTGTAGGGGGGAAGGGGGGGGGTCCATAATTTTGTGACGATGTGTGATGAGGGGGAGGAGGGGGGGGGGGTTCAGATGGTGCGACGTCACACTTTTGCATTATAAAAAAGCAATGTTAGAAAAAGAGTTTTAGATGTTATTTCCTGTTTTAGAAAACTGTTTTAATAAATTGTAATAGGAATTGATTAAAATACTCTATTTTAACAGATTTCAGACAAGATTTTGGAAAAATATCCATGTTTAAAAAAAAATGCAATTTTGAGGGGGTTGCAGGCTGAGGTGTGACGTCATTTTAGGGGGGGGGGGGGGCTGGCTTTTTGTGACGTTGTGTGACGGAGGGGAATGGGGGGGGGGGAGTAAAAATCGTCAAAAAAAGCGTGACGTCATTTATGGATGACCCCATGGTCCATAAAAGACGAATAGTAAATGAGGTTTCGAGGATAAGGAGAGAGCTGAGAAGGTCTGAAAGAGTATTTATTTTGTGTTAATAATGTGTGGTTAGAGTTATGGTTATAAGTGTTAGGGGTTCGTCGAGAAATAGTTTTCTTACATCCCACTTCTGACACCAAATGTTAGGGGGGTTTAAACCGAGAGTTGATCTTATTCACTCATCCGTGCACCTTTGCGTGGTGACAAAGGGGTCTAATACGACCTGAGCAAAACTAATTAAAATCAATACAACACCAATATTAAACTAAAAATAAAACATAGTAGACACACATAATATGCATTTATTTATCTTCATTTGACGTCACAAGGGCTTATATGTTAAAAGCAAAAGACACAATTCAAATAAGACCTGGCCAGTCTTTCATATTCAAGAAAACACCACTTGAATTTCTAATACAAGTCAAAAAGACAAAAATAAGCAAACTTACATTTCAATGCAGAATTAGTCACCGTGGTAACTGACATTAATTCATAGAAAACACATATATAAGTGTGAATAGCAAATCTACATTTACACAACTCAGAATTCACACATGTCATATCCTCTAGTCCTAACTTAAATACTTGCACTGCTTATGTAATCTCAGAATCACACTTGTCAAAGTTATTCTTTCTAGTCCTAATTTCACTTGCACTGCTATGTAATCTCAAAATCAAAAACGTAAATGTCATCGTCTCTAGTTCTAACTTTACTACTTGCACTGTTATGTAATCCCAGAATCACACGGGAAAATGTTATCATCACTAGTTCTGATTCCACTAAGCAAACACGGTTTGAATCCTTCTATGAATACTCATCAGTACTCACAACAATCTAGCTTGACACTCAAGTGGCATGGAGATTTCCCGCCACTGGAATACAACATTTGGCCACTGGTACAAACATTGGGCCACAAAGATAATGGCCACTGGAACGAAGAACATATCTACACGGCAGGAAGATTTCCAGCCACTGGAATAAACATTTGGCCACTGGTACAAACATCAGGCCACAAAGAAAATGGCCACTGGAACGAAGAACATATCTACACGGCAGGCGTTTGGCCACTGGTACAACATCGGCCACATGTATAAACACCAGGTCACACATGTAAATATCTGGAACGAAACACATATGTACAGCAACAAAACATCGGCTGGGCCAATAATCCAGCCTTAGTGGCCAGCCCTAAAGGCTGCCACCATCCGAGGCCTAGACCATCGTGTCTAGCCTATGTGTCTGTCAGAGAGAGAGAGACCTCAACATAGTCGCCCTTCCTCATTTATAGGCTAGTCTTGCCCCCCTTATCATCTCCCTAGAGCTATAGAACCTGAGTTGGGCTCCGTCCCATCTCTCGACGTCCGAGATAACACCGGTCACTATGCACCCATGCGTTGAACACCCGATAACTGACCGCTATAGATCTTCACGTTGTCTCAGGGCTAACGATTGTGTCATACACCGCTCGAGCTAACGTACGACCACGCGGTACTCCCGCCGCGTTTCACACCTGACAACTGACCACAACAGAGATCATGAGTAATGATTCTACCGAGACGTCCAGCGGCATGCCCGAACTCAACTTTAGACATAAATCACCGCGGGTGTCTTCATCATTCCGTGTCACTCATGCACCTGCATAGAGCTCGCAGCCCTTAACGACCAGAGTGAGCCGATAACATTTTAATTAAATTTTAGATTTCCCTGGCCTGTTCATCCCCAATATCTTAGATTAACCCCTTGGGTTTCTGTAACTAGTCCTAGTCACCTAAACCCCTTTAATAAGCACCCAAGTTACCATTTTACTTAAAAATAAACAATATAATACCAGCCAACATGCTTCTTAAGAATCAACAATTTGGTACCAGCCAACATAAGTGAAAGGCGAAGAATGGGAGGTTAGAGCAGGGGCGTAGCGAGGGGGGAGGGGGTTGCGGACCGCACCGGGTGACACCATTTAGGGGGTGACACCAAGGCAAAAAATAGTTAAATATATAGAGAAAAACTTGAGGGGGGGGGTGCAAATCGAAAGTTTGAGGGGGGGGGGGTGCAAATCGAAAATTCGAAAGTTTGTCCCTGGGAAGGGTCGCTACGCCTCTGGGGGGTGACACCATTAAGTGCCGCACCGGGTGACATGACACCCGACCTCGCTACGCCACTGGGTGAGAGTTTTGTGTCAACTTAAGGACCAGTAAGGTGTGTGTGGGGAGGTGGGGGGGGGGGGGGGTAATTGACATTTTTTGACTGCATGTGAATGTAGAAGGTTGGAGTAAAAATGCCTTTAAATAAAGGATATTATTTATGAGCAACATCTAAATGCATGTATTACTAGCTGTTTCATTCGTTCATTGACATTCAAATATTTTGGTTGCATTTTTTAAATGCTCTGATCCACCTACTTAGGTCGATTAGAGTTCATCTCCGGGGGATGGTCGATGAACGACGAAGCGGCCACTCATTACCTGGCCATCATCGACCAGCATAAGCTGGGCTTTGAGTTCCTGCGGGACAGCTTCGGCAGCTGTGCAAGGGTCAAGGCCGGATGGCAGATTGATCCGTTCGGGCATTCCAGGGAGCTGGCGTCGCTATTCGCACAGGTAGGGACCACTGCATGAAAGATCGTGTAGTATTTAGCTGATTTTTTTTTCTGGGAACACTCATTCCTGGTAAATACTCTGACCAGTGTTTTTTACAGAAAAAGGAGGGGGGGATGAGCGAAACTTTTCGGGGGTGGGGGTGGGGGGTGGAATGGTAAAAAGGTATATATTTTCTATATTAATTCTATTTCGTTTCGGGATGAGGAGAGGGGGGGGGGAGGAGGACAGTGTCCCACGAAGAGATACCGGAAAGAAACACTGATTTTGACTAAAACTAGAGAAAAATAAAGTTAAATAGATTGTCTACAATGTGGAGAAGATAGAGTAAGGGTAGTGGGAAGGGACGGGGGCGGACAATGTTATTGACACTGTAATCATAAAGCTACAATGAGACAGTTTTACGTAATGGGATAGATGTACGTTCTAACCCCCTACCGACCAGTCCCTTCCTACGTCCCTGAATGTACACATATTCTATACCACTCCCATTTTATGATGTAGCCAGTTAAATAGATTAGCATATCGTCACCTGTATAGTACAAGGGAGATAACTTTTTTTCATTTACAATGTTTAAACAAAACACCTACAGCTATCTTCCCATTAAAAAAGAGCTGTCTTTCCTTCAGTTTGGGTTTGACGCCCTGATATTCAGCCGTCTTGACCAGCAGGACAACGAGTTACGTCAGGTCGAGAAACGTCTGGAATTTGTCTGGAAGGGAAGTCCAAAAAACATCGGTGAGTTTCTTATCTACCTCTAACACGGTCAGTCAGGTAATCGCTGAATTTGTTCTCTACCACGTTCAGTCAGGTAATCGGTGAGTTTCTTCTCTACCTCTACCACGTTCAGCCTGGTAAACGTATGGTCTGGAATGTCCGAATACTGGCATAGGGTCAAGTTGTCATGATGAGATAAGATTATTTCATTAGGCATGGTCAGTGCCCATGTACTAACTCTCGTCATCTCATTCAAATTATCACTACCGAAAAGTTAATTTATGCCTATCATCCCATTGTTGGTGGTTGGCAAAGTAGATAGTAACTATTAATAATAAGTAAAGGCTGGCGAAAAACGTAAGAAAAAAATGTGCCTCTAACATAAATGAAGCATGACGACTAAAGAAAATAAAGAGTGACAACTAATATTAGTAAAGAATGGCCACTAACATAAGTTAAGTACGGCCACTAACATAGGTAAAGAATTAACACTAACATACGTAAATAATGATCACTAACATACGTAAACAATGACCACTAACATACTTATATAATGACCACTAACTTAATTAAAATAATGACCACTAACATAAGTAAATAATCATCACTAACATACTTAAATAATGAATACTAACATACTTAAAGAGTGACCACCACTAAATAATGACCACTAACATAAGTAAACAATGACCACTAACATACATAAATAATGACCACTAACATTCGTAAAGAATGACCACTAACATTCGTAAAGAATGACCACTAACTTGTTGTTTGTGCTGTATCAGGGCCGTCCTCTAACCTGTTCACGAGTATCCTACCCTACGGGTACAGCCCACAAGATCCCATGCACTTCGATGTTCAACAGATATACCAGCCTATGAACACAGAACTCTTCGCTGTAAGGGCAGGCTCGCCTTTGTAAAGTCTTAGAGAAATGTGTACACTTTGTACAACAGCTTGCGTATGGGGGTGTGCGAGTGTGTTGGTGTTTGCGTGACTGCGAGTTCATGTAGAATGCGTTTGTGTGTGTTTTTGTTATTATGAGTTAATGCGTGTGTGTGCTTGTGTGTATTGCGACAGTATAAGTTCATGTACGTATGCGTTTGTCTGTGTATCTGTGTGCGTATGTGTACGTATGTGTTTATGTTCGTGTGAGATTGGCTTAGGCCTCTAGCTATGAGCAAAGACATCCAAATACAAACATTGTTACAGGATGACCCAGCACTGAACGATTATAACGTAGACAGCATCGTGGATGCCGCAATTAACGCTATAAATATTCAGGTATGTGCACTGTTTAAATTGTTCGCCTTAAACTTTCACATAACAATCACCTTTCTTAGCACCACGATGTCTATTTAAATAAAACACGGACACACATCTCCTAAGTCAGTGTCACAACACTGCAGATGTTGTGTTGTGTACAACAGCACGTGTTGCATTTCAAGGCATGTGTAATTTAACGAAGAACTGCATCTGCTTCCGTCTAGGGTGTTTGTTAATTAACACAGCCGACTATGAGAGGTCTATCATTTAGGACTTCATCATCATCTTTTCCCGTTTATGACCAACTGTATAAATGTATTCAGTGTAATAATGTAACTCGATTTTAAACATACCTGGGTGTTCCAGACTTTGTATCCAAAATAATCGTACATATAGTGCAGTCAAGAACGAAATTTCAATTCCACTTTATGAGTAAACGTTTATGTTATGCTTGTAGCTTAGATTTTTAGTTTTTAGCAACGAAAAATCATTAAAAATTGTTGATTCCCCCTCCCCTCAATGAAAAAAAATCACTAACTCCTAACATATTTTAACCTTTTCTAAAGCGATTGTCTTTGAAGTCTTGTCTTTTATTAAGCGACGAAAGCACAAAATTAAAACTTTTTTTCTAAGGCGACCGTTTTTGCGACCAACCATTTGCTGGTACCTGCAGGAGGGGACTTCAACTATGTCAGTGCTCACTTTAACTTTAAGGAGATGGACAAACTTATCAAGTACGTCAACGCTAGGGTGAGTACATACATCGTGAGCAAGTGTCAATGTAGACAAAGTTTCGTTAAACTTTGAGGAGATGGACAAACTCATCCAGTACGTTAATGCTAGGGTGAGTACATACATCGTGAGCAAGTGTCAATGTAGACAAAGTTTCGTTAAACTTTGAGGAGATGGACAAACTTATCAAGTATGTCAACGCTAGGTTGAGTACATACATTGTGAGCCAGTGTCAATGTAGATGAAGAAAGTAGAGTTCATACGTTTCTTGACCTCAGTATAAACTGATATTGTTGTCAGCACTACGTCCGGCCGCCTTTACTTTACCCCTACGCGAGTTAGATAAACAATTTTGTTGGGTGAACTCTGGGATGTTCAACTGAATTGAACCCGGATTCGAACTCGAGATTTTCAGCTAGCAGTCTATCTCTCTACCTCTAAGCAGAAGCACAAACTCATTCAGTAATTCTAGAGCGAGTAGAAAAAATGAGTGCTAGTTCCAGTTTAGAGATTGTTTCTTTAAACTTTAAGCAGCTGTTCAAACTCATTCAGACCGACAACGCAAAGGCGAGTCTAAAAATGCTGTACTTGTATGATAAGAAACATATAGATCTAGTGTGAGTTGAATCATCTGAATCGATGGTTAGTGCAGTGATTATTTCGATTCAATATTTGAGATCTATAGGCTAATTCAGCACGAGAAATCTTTAGTAACTGTATTGAAGACTATAAAATGACCTCTGACTTAAAGCGCGAGGGTCTTTTTCACTCTGTGTACTATTGTGTACAATGTACGTAAACGTGCGATTGAGACAGCCAGTACTAGTGTCAAAAAAGCTTAGGACTATAAATATGCTTTGTTTTCAGCTTTTCGTGTAGCCCAGGATTAAGTTAGTTACTTCATCGACAACGTCGCTCTGTCACACCTACACATTTTGTTCTTAACAATAACTAAAGATTAGGCTAATGAATCCAGTAAGAATATATCTCTCAAACAGCAAGCCTTTTTCTTACAAATACCCCCCCCCCTCACACCACTCACAGCAAGCCAACGGCAGCAACATCAACTTCCTCTACTCCACCCCCTCCTGCTACGTCAAAGCGGTCAACGACGACAACGCCACGTGGACGACCAAGGAGGACGACTTCTTCCCGTACGCCGACAGCGACCACTCCTACTGGACCGGCTACTTCACCAGCCGTCCAACCGTCAAACGTTACATCCGGGTCGTCAACGGCTTTTATCAGGTGTGTTACGTGATTTTTTTTTTTTACTTTCATTTTGAGCATTTTTCTAAATGCTGACAAGTCAAAAGGCCGACACGGACAAAAGCAATTACCGTTCCGCAATTTAAATTTTTAAATTTAAAATTAATACGTTGTTGATTGTTAAGCCATCGCCTAACTTAACCAAAGATCTAGATGGTGTCCTGGGGAATCTTAACCCCATCATTATATAATTTTGGGAAATTATTTGAATGTATTAATATTATTATTATTATGTTAACACAAATTTCACATCACATAAGCTCTTAACCAAGAGATCAAGATAAATTTAAAAGCATTTTATTATTGTAACTTCTAAATGAAACAATAAAAATTACATTTATTTTCTCATATTTGGTTACAGTCTGTAAAAAAACTGGCCACAAATCTTTTACAAATCGGGATCGGAAGAGACCTTCTCCCCTTAGGTAAGTATAACTTCAATAAAACTATCTAACTAAAAAAAATATGTTGATATTTTTTTCGGTAGCTACGATTATTTCTTTTTACGGGAAACTTGCCTTCAATGTCCAGTCTTTGATAGTTTCATGTCGTCATTATTATTTATGTTTTCTTTTTTTTCTTTTCTATTAGCGGATGCTTTAGGGGCGGCACAACATCATGACGCTATCACGTATGTCAAATTGGTGTTAGGGCATATACAGAGCCGTAGCGAAGGGGGGGTGGGCCGGGGGATGTGGACCGCACCGGGTGCCACCATTTAGTGGGGTGACACCAAGGCAAAAAAAAATAGCAAAATATATAGAGAAAAATTTGAGGGGGGAGGGGGGTGAAAATCGAAAATTTGTACCCGGGAAGGGTCGCTACGCCTCTGGGGGGTGACACCGTTACGTGCCGAACCGGGTGACACCCGACCTCGCTACGCCACTGGGCATATAACATATGCGCGCGGACACACACATACATATATATATATATTTGTCTAAACTTTAGGCATTTATTACTATTCTAGAGGCACAGAGAAACAAGTTGTAGCCTTTGATTACGCACTCCGCTTATCTGACGGTGTTCGCAACGGTTTGGTAAGTTTCCCATCTTAATAGCGGGTGATCTCCACAAAACTCGCATCTGGGATAAACGAAAAAGTTTTTTTTTTTTCATTTCCGTGTTCCGTGTCTAGTGTAGGCCTATTAGGTACTAGTATAATGATTCTACCTTCCTCTTTTATTAAGTCATAAAAAAATACGGGCATAGCACAGTAGGGAGAATCCAGTACATGGATCGAGGGAAAGACTAGACTATCAATCTAGCCTGCTTTCTATTGCAAGGTTCAACCTCAGCAATGCATTTTAGTTGATAATGCAATATAGAGTTGAGAGCGTATTGATGTTTCGAACTCATTACATGTTTACTAACTGTGTTTCTTCCAGACTTTTTTCTCCGTGGGGAAGGGGTGGGGCACTTGATATTTTCGGGGCGGTCAACATTTTTCGGGGGGGGGGGGTGTGTGTGGACACTAGTAAAATTGTATGTTTACTATATAAAATCCATCTCGTTCGTGGGGGGAGGGGGGGGGGTGGTAGACTTTCTGCCCCCCCCCCCCCCCCCCCCCCTGAAGAGATGACTGGAAGAAACTCTAATTACTAAGGACAAATTAAAATTAAATTATTTCCCTTATTTTTAGGATATGGTCAACACCGTGTACAGAAAGTTGATGTACAAGGGAACATTTACTCCCCCTACACAAGAGTTCTGTCCCTTGCTAAACGAGAGTATATGTGACTTGACCCGAGAGACCTACATGGTAAGTCATCTCTAACGCACTGCCTGTTTATACAAAATTATCTTTTTTTAATTTAATTTTTTTGTTTAGTTCTATTCTACTCCTGGAAAGGTAAGCGATTTGATAAAATGATGAATTGTGGATTCCATCTGACTATTTGGTTATAATATTTCATTCTCAACTGCGACCATTTTCTGTAATTTTGTCTCCGTAATTGTTGAAATACCATGTCTAATTAATAGTACTCCGTACCGAATTCTCAATTTATACACCATACTTGATATATTATTGATAAATACGTAAGGGCTACACCCCTCCCTTACCCTACCAGCTATCCCACAACACTGTCATTGATGACGTCCCAACACGGAGGGGGGTGGGGGTTCGGTTAAAAAAAAAATCGACGTTAGTGGACGCTTATGGACTGGGGGTGAGGGGGGGGGGGGTCGGGTCAGTGTGGACGTCCACATGTTGAATTTAACATCAAAATACTTACATCTAAAAAAATTAAATAAATAACATTAAAATAAAATAAAAACTGTATATAAAATGTACGAGTTAAAATAAATCAACAGTTCACAAGTACACAAAACGAATGGCGTCATCTTCCAATTTTATAATATGAAAGAAATGTAATATTTTATTCAATTTTGATTTTTATCTATGGATCTACTCATCAAGACGGACGATATGAAATGTATACATTTTTCTCGGCCAAAATAATACACATTACTTTAAAAAACAAGATAAATACTATTCAACAGTCGTGTTTTTAACGGAATCATCCAAGTCTCTTAATCACAGTGTGCATTTAAATTTAATATAGTGTTGTGTTGTCAAATAATGTATATAATTTGGTTTTTTTAACAGGTATTGGTAGCCTATGTTATTTTAAATGTGTCGGATTTTTAGCTATTTAGATATTTCTTTGCTTTGTCACTAATATCGTTCAGTGTGCAGTAGAGCACATAGCGTTTTACCGACATCTATTTAATACAATATTTTTCTCAAACAAAAGTATAACTCACGTGTAACGACTAGTTAAAAAAATTCCAGTACGGAAAACCTTAACAGAAGAAAATATACTGTACTATCAAATTTAATATCACATTTTTTTACTTTTATAATTTGTTATTATAAAGGTTGTCTATAACGTTTTTCATGTGAATCTTATTTTCTTGCTCATTAAAGCTGCAAGCAACCCTCTACAACCCCCTAGCTCGTTTGGTTGAGTATATGGTTAGACTACCCGTTGCTGGAAGTGGTTATACAGTCATCGCTCCTGATGGAACTACGGAAGTTGAACATCAGGTTGAGTTATCTACCATTTTGCGTTTAAGTATTGAACAACAGAATAAAGGGAAATAACTGCTTTCTAAAATAAATTCGACGGTGTTCCTTAGAGTGTTGACTTTCCTAGTTTTTACAAAATAAATACTTCACCATTGCAAATACGGAAACATAACAAAATTTTAAAATGATGACAAAAAAAACAAACATTTAGGCCTATATGAATGCATGTTATTTTACTTTAAAGTTATGTCGACTGTTTTGGTACATTTCCAAACTAGTTTATATTAACACACGGTAGCATGCCGGATATAATGACCTTGATCTTAATCCACACTACCCTTATTATAGCTTGTTCCAGGGTCGGCTCAGACTCAGACCCTTGTGTTCCCCGCCACCCTCCCACCCCTAGGGTACGCCACTTACTTTGTTAACAGACAAACAGATGTGCCAAAGAAACCAGCCGAAGTTCTAGGTAACTAAAACTAATTTTAAAACTAATTATAAAACTAATTTTTTTTTAATAAAGTAACATTTACGTTTTAATATCTGGCGTTCAGTAATGTAGATATTTTATAGTTGAACTATTTGTTTTTTTTTACCTCGGTATGAGGAGTTGTGTTGTGTCGCACTAAGGATTCGAACCCGCAAATTTACTCTAGACTTTCGGGTTAACGAAACTGCTATAGTGCTTGTCCAAAAAGAACATAAAACTATAAGTTAATTGTGAATGCGATAATGTGTTAATTTCTTTAAATTGGAAGTATTCTTTTAAAATATACTACAGTTGAAGTTACAAGAATATCTTTGGTAATTAGAGATGTATTATTAGTAATTAATTACAGCTGTCTGTGTGAAATAGTAAAGTGATTGATTTACGTACTTCAGATCAAGAGAAACCAAAGGCAAAATCAAGCAAGCGTTCACATTCATCTACCACAAATGTTATTCAAGGGAAGGTAGGATTAAATATGTTTTTTTAAACTTAAACGTCAAGTTTAAATTATTTCCTTAACATGCAGATCTTAATAAAATTAGAGATTGATTATACAGACCTAAATCGTACAGATGTTAATCATAAATTTTTATCATACAAATCTGAATCATTTCTTTATTAAAGTAAAGTTCCCTTTCAAACCTGTCGGTCTATAGGGCAAGTGGAATAGAGTTCACTTGTTTCTGTGACCTCAGCATATGAAGAGATAGTGTGGTCAGCACTATGCCCAGCCGCCTTTACTTTCCCTAACTTTCCCTAACGTGAGTTAGGTACCCATCAGAGTTGGGTGGACTCAAGGGCGGATTAGCAGTCTAGCTTTCTACCGGTAGACTTCTCCGTACCCTAATTTCTGTATTAACCTGAACATTCTTTTACAAAAATGTAAATCCTAACTTTTTATCAATGCTGGTTTTATCGGACACTTAAAAATAAAGATCTCAATATCCCACAAAATGTTTAAGGGAAAATTCAAATAATTTATCAAACCTAATAATTTTACCAAAAAAAAAAAAAGCAATTTTAATCCCCTATTGGACGACGGTGAATTTAAAGGTATATTTTACATGATCCAAGTTGTCAAATGCTTTAAAAAAAAAAAAAAAAAGATCTATTCTCCCACAAAAGCTTAAGGGAGAATATATAATGTATCGTCATTCACATGATAACGTTAATACATATATTGACCTCAGTACGTCAGCGTGACCTTTGACGAGGCCGGGCACCTAGCCTACCTGACCAACCTTGAATCAGGCGTGACAACCCAGCTCAGCCAGAACTTCTACTTCTACCCCGGCTTTGGTCAGAAGGGACAGTCCAGTGGCGCCTACATCTTCAGGCCGGCCAACAACACACCGACCAGCATACCACTCACTCTCTGGCAGGGTACCAGAAATGTAAGGTCACGTGATGGGTCCGTTAAGTCAACGGTTCAAACTTAAAATAGGATATCTTTAAGGGAAAATGCGCAGAGGAACAAGTATAAAATCTTGATCAATAACCATAATTAGATTTACTTTAAACTTATCAAACAATTCTAGAATGGAATAAGCATATCATTAAGAGATAATGCGCAAAGGAACAAATAGAAAATCTTGATTAATAACCATAATTAAATTTACTTTAAACTTATCAACCATTTCTAGATTGGAAAAATATAACAAGAATATATACATTTTTTTTCCTAAAATATTTTAAGACTCTTTTTCTAACCATATCGACATTTTTTTAAAGCATTTTATCAAAAGACTATTTTTCTAACTGTATCAATATTTGTTTGAAGCATTTTATTAAAAAGCCAATTTTTTACATTTTTTGAAGCATTTTATTAAAAGACTATTTTTCTAACACTATTTTTCTAACACTATCAACACTTTTTATAACCATCTTATTACATTATTCTTCGCAAATTCTTCAGCTGATAACATCATCTAAATTGGGTTGTGTTTGTAGTTAGGGTTAAGCCAAATCTTGGACTTGTAATATAAATTATTAGCTATTTAATTATTAGATAGTTAATTCATCATGACTTGATAATAACATAGATTTTTCTTTTGCTATCTCAGATAGTGAAATCTCATTAATGCCGATCACACTTCATGTGTAGGCATGAGTCTATTGGTTAAATTTTAACGTAACTTTAAACAACGCTAGATGTCTTTTCTGTGTTAAACAAATCTACGAAACCTTCAATTCCACTTGTATTAAAAGTAACGGGTCTCTCTTTCAATGGTTGCTGTGTTCAGGGTACCCTGGTACAGGAGGCGTATCAACAGTTTACAGACCTGGTGAGTCAGGTGGTGCGGGTCTACAGGGAGAAACGTTACGTAGAGTTCCAGTGGACGGTTGGTCCCATTCCTGTCAGGTAATGGTCTCGGTCGTTGTATGGAACTCTCTCTATATATATACCTATGTACAGTCTAGCACACACAGACACTCGTATATACAGTCAGGTATATATATATAGACAATGGAACACATATCTTCACGGATACATACACAGATACTCATAGAAACATTGACAGGCACTCACACACACACATACGAACCTACAGACACACACACACACACACACGCACACACACTTAGTGACAACACTGTTAAGCACATACAGAAACATTAGGCTATAAATAAATAAATATATATATATATATATATATATATATATATATATATATATATATATATATATATATATATATATATATATATATAAGTGTGTGTGTGTTCTGTATTTTTCACCATACAGATTTTATGTTGTATTAGATAAGTTAAAAGATAACTTTATTAATGTTTCTCACTAAACAGTGACGGCATTGGTAAAGAAGTAATTACACGATTCAACATCCCGGGGTGGGGTAACAAAGGCGTCTTCTACACGGATGCCAACGGCAGAGAACTGCTGGAGAGGAAGTAAGTAATGCTTGAATGGAACCCCCAGAGGAAGTAAGTAATGTAAGAATGGAACCCTCAGAGGAAGTATGTAAGGCCTGAATGGAACACCCAGAGGAAGTAAGTAATGTAAGAATGGAACCCCCAGAGGAAGTAAGTAATGTAAGAATGGAACCCCCAGAGGAAGTAAGTAATGTAAGAATTGAACCCCTAGAGGAAGTATGTAAGGCCTGAATGGAACACCCAGAGGAAGTAAGTAATGTAAGAATGGAACCCCCAGAGGAAGTATGTAAGGCCTGAATGGAACACCCGCATCGCCACACCCTCTCTAGGGTTTTTATGAGTTTAAAGTAAAGTAATGTAAAAATCTACTTAGTAGGTTTTGAACAATAGTACAACTCTCCTCCCCCCCACCCCACCGCCAACCACAGAGATGGAACCCAGACACCTTTAGTGGGCTGGACACCATCCCCCCCCCCCCCCCCCCCCACACACACACCGTTCATTGTAACTACTTTGGGTTAAATAATGTAAAATCTACTATGGAAGTTTTAACATTAATAGAACTATTACAAAAATCTAATTGGTTTTTAATGCGAATGCTTCAACGTTGTTATTATGTTGTAATGAGTGTTGAATGCTTTCGAGAGATTTAGTTACCGGCTGCCTTGTTATGTTCTAGAATCAACTACCGACCTACCTGGAACGTCACCATACCGGAACCAGTTGCAGGGAACTATTACCCCATTACAACCATGATTTCTATAAAGGTAAACTAAAACAATGTTAGTTTACTGTCAAAAACAGTGTTACTTAACTGGGACTATGGCTATCAAAAATAGTGTTACTATAAATTGGAGTATGGCTATCAAAAACAGAGTTATTTTAACTGAGGGTATGGCTATGATAAAAAAGCATGACAAATCATTCCTCTAGTTAGGTGAATATATTGTTTCGGAAATAAAATAAAAACAAAAAACGAAAGAATAATCGATTTAACTTGTGTTTGCTTCATTACCTTAGAAACACAAGTTAGCCTTTAATTAAGTTAGGGGCGTAGCGAGGGTGGGGGGGCGGGGGGGGGGGGGTGCGGACCGCACCGGGTGACACCATTTAGGGGGGTGACACCAAGGCAAAAAATTACAAAATATATAGAGAAAAACTTGAGGGGGGTGCAAATCGAAAGTTTGAGGGGGGGGGGGTGCAAATCGAAAATTTGGCCCCGGGAAGGGTCGCTACGCCTCTGCGGGGTGACACCATTAAGTGCCGCACCGGGTGACACCCGACCTCGCTATGCCACTGAATTAAGTAGTACATTATTTTCACAGATATGAATATTCGTTATCTTTGGTATATTTCTTAGGATAAAAAATAAACCATTATAACATCATCTTTTCACGTTTGTGCCCTAGACACATGGGGCAAATAAAGTAGAGTTCATCTGTTTCAGTGATCTCGGCATATAAAGGGATAATGTCCTCAGCATTATTGCCAACCGGCTTATAGTTATCTAACGTGAGTTAGGTACTTATTAGAGCTGGGTGGGCTCAGGGACGTTCTACTGAGTTGAACCCGGATTGGAACCATAGACTTTCGGAGTTAGCAATCTAAACCACGCCGCCCCATCATTATAACATGATTACACTATTACCTACTTACTTGGTGTGTTTTTAATTTTTTTGGCTGTGTGTTCTAGAACGACAAGAACCAGTTCACCGTTCTGACAGACCGCTCTCATGGTGGTACCAGCCTCAACGATGGTGACGTGGAGCTCATGGTGAGTGACGTCAACTTTGAAATGTAGTGACGTCAACATTCGCAATTTGTTCACGACACAAATAGAAATCGTAGCGATTTTTTTTTCGCTACGACAGAGCTATTTTTAGATAACATAAGGAAATTGCGCTAAAATTGTCACTAGACTTTTTAATTAACTTGTTTTAAATCTAACGCGTCATTCTTCTAAGTTACACAATTGAAGTATTTTATCAAGTGTATTGCATGACTAATATAATTAATTAATTAATATCTACATGAAAATAAGCAGTGTTTATTCCAGACTTTTTTTCTCCGGGGGTGCACTTGAAATTTTCGGGGGAGGGGGGCGGACAACAATTTTCGGGGGGGGGGGGGGGCGGACACTATCAAAAGTATATATTTTCTATATAAATTCCATTTCGTTCGGGGGCGGTAAACTTTCTTCGGGAGGGGGGGGGGCGGTGTCTGCCCGAAGAGATGCCTGGAAGAAACTCTGAAAATAAGGCAGTGATTTAGCCAATAACAAAACTTTGCACGTCGTGTGTAAGAAAGATGTCACAATTTAGCATTTTAGAACTGTATTTCGTAAACTAAGTTTTAACAGTTGTTTTTCATGTAATGAAAATTGATCAGTATAAACAAGCTTGGGTTAGATGTTCTACACATGTTAATATCAAATAATGATTAGAAATGTTTTCGAGTAAAATTAACCTAGCTTGCTAAATTATTTTTGGTTATTTCCTCTTTAAAACGCGGAACAACAATATATGGATAGTAAAGAACTTAGCTTTTGTGGGATTTTGTGGGATGGCATGCAGCGTTTCTTCCAGGCACCCCTCCACTACCAGTGTCCGAGCCCCCCCCCCCCCCGGAAAATTTAGCCCCCCCCCCCTCCCACACCTCCCCAAAATTGTTTCTTACAGTTGTTTTTCTCCGGGGGTGGGGCACTTGAAATTTTGGGAGGGGCGGACTAGAATTTCCTTGGGGGGGGGGGGGGGGAGAGGAGACACCGGAGAAAAAAATCTGAAAGAAACGCTGATGGGATGGGAGTAGGGTTAGGAGAAGATGGACAAAATTTAAGCTCTAACAGAATTTGTAAAAAAAAAATTATTTATTATGCTAAGTGGGTGAATGTGTGAGTGTGTGGGGGTGGGGTTAAAATAATGCATCTCGTCATTTATAGAAGATCTCTCATCACTTTTATTTTTCAAACATTACATTCCCTCCCCCCCCCTGTGTCACCAGTTACATCGGCGTTTGCTACACGACGACAGCCGGGGCGTGAACGAGGCGCTCAATGAAACCGGAAGTGACGGCAGAGGTCTAGTCGTACAAGGTAGGGTTGTCCGCGCGGATTTTTTTCAAAACCCATCTTGCCAGGATCTCGGGGTCACGGTAGGGTAAAGGTCAACTGGGAAGGGGTTAGAGGTCATCCATAAATGACAATTTTGTGACGGTGTGTGAGAAGGGCAGAGGCGTAGCGACCCTTCCCGGCGCCCGGGGACAAATTTTTCGATTTGTACCCACCCCCTCAAGATTTCGATTTGCACCCCCTCCCCCCTCAAGATTTCGATTTGCACCCACCCCCCCCCTCAAGCTTTCGATTTGCACTCCCATCAACCTTTTAATTTATTTTTCCAACACATTTTGGCGCCACCTAAGGTCGGCGCCCGGGTCATATGTCCCCCCCCGCCCCCCCCCCCCCCCTCGCTACGCTACTGGAGAAGGGTAAAAGGGGGGGGGTTCAGATGGTGTGATGTCACACTTGTGCATTATTAAAAAAAAACAGCAGACGCCATTTAAGGATGACCCTTTAATAAGGTATAGATCTGAGCTTCATGTAAAAAATACCTGTTTGAAGTGAAACTAAACTAAAGAAAATGTACACAAATTTAAAAAAAAAATTAATTTTTTTTTATTTTTTTTAAATTAATCGAGAAAATATAATATTTAAATAAACAAGAACAAAATTAGCACTAACCAGGATCTTATCCTTATACGGGACTGACTAGCATATAGGCTGTACTATCGACAACATCAGCTATAGAAAAGTTCAGTATGGATAATCGATAAGAATAAGAAATTAATTTAAGATTTTGTGAAAATTCAATACATGTTTGCAGAGTTTCTTCCAGACATCTCTTAAAAAAAGTCTCCCCCCCCCCCCGCACCCCACCTGAACGAAATAGAATGTATATAGAAAATATATACTTCTTTAGTGTGTGGAAATTTTTGCTTATTCAAAAGGGAAGTAAAATTAGATTTATAAAGGAGAATATAATTTAGATTATGTCCCTTACTTGATAACAAATGTTTTTTAAAAAAATCTGGTTTGAAACAATTCTGCAATAAAAGAGCCGATTCGATTTAAATCTTTCAATTTACAGAAAATTATAATAGCATTAAATACATTACGTTTTTAAATAAACATAAAACTTTTTACCCTATGTCCTCTTTTTAACCTTTAGATACATGCTTTTTTTTTAAATCGTTAAAAAAACAACTAGCAATTATTTTGTTGTTAATATGCAGAATACAATGTAGTAATACATCATTTTAAAATTTAAAATGAACTTTAATTAAATTATTAATTGTTGCATGTTTACAAAATTATGAAGTGGGATGATAGTTTTTAAAACAGTTATTGTTCTGTGACGTGGCCTATATGTTCAGGGTCCACTCTGGTCCTGGAGATTCAGGGTTCACTCTGGTCCAGGAGATTCTGGGTCCACACTGGTCCAGGAGATTCAGGGTTCATTCTGGTCCAGGATATCTAGGGTCCACACTGGTCCAGGATGTCTAGGGTCCACTCTGGTCCAGGAGATTCTGGGTCCACACTGGTCCAGGAGGTTCAGGGTCCACTCTGGTCCAGGATATCTAGGGTCCACACTGGTCCAGGATGTCTAGGGTCCACTCTGGTCCAGGAGATCCAGGGTCCACACTGGTCCTGAAGATTCAGGGTCCACACTGGTCAGGAGATCCAGGGTTCACCCTGGTCCAGGAGATTCAGGGTTCACACTGGTCCAGGAGATCGAGGGTCCACACTGGTCCAGGAGATTCAGGGTCCACACTGGTCCAGGAGATCCAGGGTCCACACTGATCCTGAAGATTCAGGGTCCACACTGGTCAGGAGATCCAGGGTTCACCCTGGTCCAGGAGATTCAGGGTTCACACTGGTCCAGGAGATCGAGGGTCCACACTGGTCCAGGAGATTCAGGGTCCACTCTGGTCTAGGAGATCCAGGGTCCACTCTGGTCATAGAGATTCAGGGTCCACTCTGGTCCAGGAGATTCAGGGTACACTCTGGTCCTGGTGATTCAGGGTTCACAATGGTCTGGGATATCCAGGGTCCACTCTTGTCATAGAGATTCAGGGTCCACTCTGGTCCAGGAGATTCAGGGTCCACTCTGGTCATAGAGATTCAGGGTCCACTCTGGTCCTGGAGATTCAGGGTCCACTCTGGTCATAGAGATTCAGGGTCCACTCTGGTCCTGGAGATTCAGGGTCCACTCTGGTCCTGGAGATTTAGACTTCACTATGGTCTGGGATATCCAGGGTCCACTCTGGTCCAGGAGATCCAGGGTCCACTCTGGTCCAGGAGATCCAGGTTCCACTCTGGTCCAGGAGATCAAGGGTTCACAAAGGTCTGGGATATCCAGGGTCCACACTGGACCTGGAGATCCAGGGTCCACTCTGGTCCAGGAGATTCAGGGTCCACACTGGTCCTGGAGATTTAGACTTCACTATGGTCTGGGATATCCAGGGTCCACTCTGGTCCAAGAGATCCAGGGTCCACTCTGGTCCAGGAGATCCAGGTTCCACTCTGGTCCAGGAGATCAAGGGTTCACAATGGTCTGGGATATCCAGGGTCCACACTGGACCTGGAGATTCAGGGTCCACTCTGGTCCAGGAGATTCAGGGTCCACTCTGGTCCTGGAGATTCAGGGTTCACAATGGACTGGGATATCCAGGGGCCACACTGGTCCTGGAGATCCAGGAAGATACTCTGGATCACCAAGATCATCTACTTCATATAATTCTTCACCTTCACTCAAGTCATCTATTTCACTAAGGTTATATGCTATGTATTGCAGTTAATGCTTAATAAGAATCACCCTTTGATTTCTTAATGATTTCGCTGAAACTAGAAGAAAAACGAGGTACTATATAATCACCGATGCTGATGTATAAAGTAAAAAATAGTGTAAAAGTAGGTCAACATGCATAACGTTGCAGTACTGCAACCAACGTTTTGTGAAGATTTATACATAAATTATGAATTATGGCTTGGCGGTAAAACAAATCTAGGTCACTTAGACATGTGCAAGCTGTAGGTTAACATTGTAGCAGTCAAACAACGCGATGCACAGAATCAAACATGTTTAGGCTAATATTTTATGGGAAGGTAACTGGTATGTTGCAGATCTGTAGCGGTATGCATTTAAGGGCTTACCTTAGATCTCAGTTTTATAATGTGGAAAAAATAAAAAATTTCAGAATGACGAATAAAGAGCAAATAAGTTACAAGCGATTTAAAAAGGTGCTCTACTTTTCTTACAACAAATGTGGCCCTCATTTCTTTAAAATTTACAGTTTATTCGACAATTTTATAGCTCAAAGAATGTAATAGTGTTGCAGTACTCTTCAGTCTTTGCTTTCAATTTTTTAAAAAAATCTGGAAAAACCGTAGGCGGCGTTTCGATGGAAATGGTTTTTTTTTTAAGAACTTGATAGAAAGTCTGCAAAAAAAAAATATTAAAAAAAAATGATATAATAATAATGTTTTTAAGTTTAATTTTCATTGCGTAGAAAGGAACATTTCAGTTTTTTTTTTTTAAACCCTTTGAACATGGATCAGGTAAAATATAGCTTTAAATTCTCGTTCGTCCAATAGAAGATTAAAGTGGTTTTTTTTCTCGTCTTTTTTTCTTATTTTTTTTTTGTAAAATTATTAGGTTTTTTAAGTTATTTGAATTCTCCCTTAAGCCTTTTGTGGGAGTTCCGATCTTTCTTTTTAAGTATTCGACAAAACCAGCATTAATAAAATGTAAGGATTTACATTTTTTTTTTCAAAAAGTAAAAAAAAAAGTTTATGCTAATAAAGAAATGATTTAGATCTGTATGATTAAGATCTGTGCGATTTAGATGTGTACGGTATCTAACTGGGATCTATGATTAAGATCTTTATGGTTACGTTTGGAATGATTCGGTGTAGCTATCACGATGAAGATCGTTTTGAACACTATATGACTAAGGTCTTTATGAATAAGATGTCCACGATTTAAAGCAAAATTTGGTGGTATTTGGGTTCCTACCGTCAACGTCTGTCATCTGTGTGCGCCTTGGTGCACGTGCATTTGTAAAGCTGTCAGAATCTTCAACGTGAGCAGTTGCAGCATAAAAATACCTTGCACTACAACCCACTATTCTAACCATAACTATAATAGTATTGTCGGCAAAAGAAAATCCGCTACATGAGATATTCATTTAGGCATATATATATATATATATATATATATATATATATATATGTAAATATGTTCATGTATATATATATATATATATATATATATATATATATATATATATATATATATATATATATATATATATATATATATATATATACGATGTTTCCCAGCCGTTGACAAGAAGTGAATCAGACACAAGCCCACCATGTCTGGTTTAACGATGCTGTCCTGCAACCATAAAATCCCCTACCAGGATGTATAAAAAAAACCTTTTAGCACAAATAGTCCTTGATTGCATCTTAGGAAGAATGTTCGCCAAACATCCTGTAATTAACTGGTGCAAAAGCTCATGAGATGTCTGGTGTAACGAATTACCGACAAGGTGCGGTAATTAGAACCAAAAAAAAGGTGTTTACGTGGTTTTCGTTTGTTCCGTTTTTGTTCTCAAAAAGTTTATTTTGGAATGAGGTCTTTGCATTGAAGGTTTTATTTGAAGAATCTTTCAATTTTTGTGTAAAAGTTTTGCACTAACAGATAATTTGATACTTAGAACATTGTATAACATGTTTCTTTTCTACGTATTAATAATTACGATTTTTTAATAAGTTAAACATGAAAAAATAAACAATATGATTCTCAATCAACGTAACACCAACCCACCTAAAACCAACCCACCTAACACCACCCACCTAACACCACCCACCTAACACCACCCACCCACCTAACACCACCTATATAACACCTCCCACCCAACAACATCCACCCACCGTAACACCACCCACCAAACACCACCCATTCACCTAACACCACCCACCCACCTAACACCACCCACCCAACAACATCCACCGACCGTAACATCACCCACATAACACCACCAACCTAACACCACCCTCCAAACACCAAACACTATCCACCTAACACCACCCACATAACACCATCCACCCAACACCACCCACCCACCCAACAACATCCACCCACCCAACACCACCCACCCAACACCACCCACCCAACACCATCCACCCAACACCACCCACCCAACAACATCCACCCACTAAACACCACCCACACCCCCTATCTCCAGGCTCCCTGTACGTCGTCCTTGACACGATAGACCGCTCGGCCAGACAGTACCGGTCCCTGGCCCAGGAGCTGATCCTCTCCCCCCTCCTCACCTTCTCCACCCTGGACGTCGCCCCGGCAGACTACGTCAAGAACCTCAACACTACGGTAAAACTTGCATTCTTTTTTTTCTACCTTTACGACGTCAAGAATCTCAACACTACGGTAAAACTTTGATTTTTTTTCTTGACGTCAAGAACCTCAACACTACGGTAAAACGGGTTCTTTTTTAACTTTCTTGACTTCAAAAACCTCAACACTACGGTAAAACTTGGATTCTTTTTCTTTTTTGACGTCAAGAACCTCAACACTGCGGTAAAACTTGGGTTCTTTTTTAACTTTCTTGACGTCAAAAACTTCAACACTACGGTAAAACTTGCATTCTTTTTTTACTTTCTTGACGTCAAGAACCTTAACACTACTACAATTTAATGTTAGTTTGTCTTTTTCGCTTAACCGAAAGTTTCTATTTCGAATTTGTGATCAAATGTTCGTGTGTGCGCGTGGTTCATGACGCCGTGTCACGTTTTCCCTCTCTCTCCGTGACGCAGGTATCAGGGCTGATGACGCAACTTCCGCCCAACGTTCATCTCCTCTCGCTGGAACCGTTCCTGGAGTGGGGGCCAGTGGCGTCGCCTAGCAACACGATTCCACTCCTCATCCGGTTTGAGCATTTTTACGAGGTGGGGGAGGACGAGGACCTGTCGAAACCTGTCACTTTTGATATACAGGTAATGGGTCACTTTTGATATACAGGTAATAGGACACTTTTGATATACAGGTAATGGGTCATTTTGATATACAGGTAATAGGTCATTTTGATATACAGGTAATAGGTCACTTTTGATATAGATGTATTAGGTCACTTTGATATACAGGTAATAGGTCACTTTTGATATAGATGTAATAGGTCAGTTTTGTTATACAGGTAATAGGTCACTTTTGATATACAGGCAGTAGGTCACTTTTAATATATACAAGTAATAGGTCACTTATGATGAGTTTTGAGGTTTTGTTCATAATTTTTTGTAGTCATGTATTCTCCTCATGTTATAGGTTATGCTATGCTGAATATTTCTATTCGGTGGGAAAATCTACCTACATTATCTAACATATACCTACACGTTACATGGCATAAAGCCTAAAGACAGACACCTAGCGGGTATAGTCTTTCAGTGGCGTAGCCAGGATCGTCTCAAGAGGGGGGGTTCCAATTTTTATCCGGGGACAAACTTTCGATTTGCACCCCCCCCCCTCAGACTTTTAATTTGCACCCCCCCCCCTCAAACTTTCGATCTGCACCCCCATCATACTTTATATATATATACCGAGGGGTCTATGGGGGGGGGGGGTGGTTATGACCCCCTTAACCCCCCTGCCTACGCCACTGTAGTCTTTACATAGACCTACAGGGCATAAAACCTAAAGATAGAGCTAGAGGGCATAGAGACTTAACATAGACCTACAGGGCATAGGGTCTTTAAAAATATTTATATATAAAATAAAAAACATAGGGCATCAAATACACACATAGGGTATAAGGTCTTAACATAGACAACAAGATATAGGTAATTTTTACAAAGACCAACGTTAATCAGCCAAATTCAAGTGTTACAAAAAAAACACGCACACCCACATACACTCACTCACACACACACACATACACGGGCAAACACACACACACACACACACAAAGTCGTCTCACAACCCACATTCATCGTCAGGGGTGAAGTTAAATTTGTACATTTTCAAAGTTCGTGGGTCTTTAATTTCAAACTAATTAGCGGGCTCTAATTACAAAGCAAAAAAAAAAAAATTAATCGTTTTTCTTGACAGCGCCACGCCTCTAGACGAATCGTATTTCGTAGGAGGGGGGGGGGGGGAAGGGAGGAAATATGTCTATCAATGCCACTTAAACAATTAGCGGGAGATAATCCCCAGATGGAGGTATAAACGACATAACGCGGTTGATGGATTAAAATAAAAAGAAGGTGTTAACGCACCCAAAAGAAACAGATCCTGGTTGTTCATGGGGGGGGGGGGGGGAGGGGAAGTAATTGATACTTTAAATAAGCGTCAGTTTCATTTTTTTTTAAAACTTCCTGAGTAAACGCAGAGCTTACGATGTTTATAAGGTGTAAAACTTTTTTAGAATATATTCAGAGGTTAGCTTATTACTGACGTGAAGATATTTTCAGGATATTTTTAGAGTTTAACCTATTAATAAGGTGTACAACTTTTTAGAATATATTCAGAAGTTAAATTTACCTATTAATGATGTGTACATGTTTCAGAATATATTCAGAGTCAATCCTATTAATGACGTATATAGCTTTCATCATATAAGCAGAGCTTATATAAACCTATTAATGACGTACATAACTTTCAGAATACATTCAGAACGTAGCATATTAATGACATGTTTAAGTTTCGATTATATCAAGAGCTTTAATACCCTTTTAATAAGGTGTAAAACTTTTATGAATGTATTCAGAGCTTATCATATTTATTTATAACGTACACAACTTTCAGAATATATTGAGAGCTTGTGCTATTTATAACGTACGCATATTTCAGAATATTTTTAGAGCTTATGCTATTAAATACTATTTATAACGTATACATATTTCAGAATATATTCAGAGCTTATGCTATTTATAACGAATACACCTTTCAGAATATATTCAGAGCTTATGCTATTTATAACGTATACACCTTTCAGAATATATTCAGAGCGTATGCTATTTATTTACCTACATATATTTGAGAATATATTCAGAGTTTATGCTATTTATAACGAATACAACTTTCAGAATATATTTAGAGCTTTAAACTAAACAAATAATGTGGTGTATACCTTTCAGAATATATTTAGAGCTTACCCTATCAATGACGTGTATGAGCTTAACCTTGGTGCAAACATCCCAATAGAGGAGGTCAAGAGACTGCATTGGAGGACGAATGACGCTTCCGGTTCCGGTAAGTATATCTACTTCCGCTTTTCGTTTTCACAGTGTGAGTTAGCTGCCTTTGTTCAACCCCGTTATTACTGAACGCGCGTGGAAGTGTGTGTTGATTATTTTATAACCACGTTTGCTTAATAATCAATTAACTCTGAGCTGATTAGAGTGTTAATTAAAACTGGAGTAATATCGTATTTCGTTTAAGGTTTCCTTGAACGAAGAAAATAAACTAGCGCTGGAAATGGAAGAAAAAAAAATAAGATAACTCCAGATTTTTAAAAATATCATTTTTTTCGCCTGGCAAGTGCAAATTTACACAATTCATATATATATATATACTAGCCGTCCCGGCCAGGCCCTGCTCTGGCTTCTGTCAAAAACCTTTCTGTTAAAGAACATTACCTGTGTGTTTAGTAATCATCATAAACCCGGCATTGCCCACCCAAACCACAACCAACCAAAACAACAAAACGCAAACATAACGCTAACACAATTACAAATACAAACGAAAACAAAAACCTAACAACAAACCCAACCACAACCACAAACACCAATACAAACATAAAGAAAAAACAAACAAAAAAGCAAACGAAAACAAAAACCTAACAACAAACCCAACCACAAACACCAATGCCAACAAAAAAAAAAAAAAACAACGAAAAAGCAAACGAAAACAAACCAAATCCAAACGCAAAACCAACCAAAAACACAAATACAAACCCAAACAAAAAAACACAAACAAAAACGTAAAAAGAAAGAACAAAAACGAACCAAATCAAAACGCAACCACTAACGCAAACCCACCTAAACACAAAGAAAACACTAACGCGAACATAAACGCCCGGGGCGGAATCACCTGTTTTAGCTTAATGAACGACTATAGTACCCCAACTTATTCATAGTCTTTTGCACTCACTTAAACGAACGCGCCTGTTTCAATTTGATGAATAATTTTAATACTCCAAGCTTATCCGTAAAATACCTACAACATTTGCACTTGATCAATCCCCGCTAATTATGTAATTATTTTTTTTCCCAACACCAAAACAAAGTAATTAAAAAGTAAATTATTTTCGACTAATGCAATAGTTTTATAAAGGGAAGTAATTTTGTTTTCCTAATTTATCAAAGGGAAGTAAGTGCTATAGGACTAAATAAAGACATAATTAGAATTTTTGTAAAAGATGATATTTTTTTAAAACTTGTGTTTAATGAACATGCCGACAATTATTACTATAATTTGAAAAATGAAAGTTATTTCCCAACACTTTCAATAGTAATTTTTGACACCATGAAGTTACGCACCGGTTGACACCCGACCTAGCGACGCCACTGGAGTAGAGCGTATATGGACAGCTGACAGCCGCTGGGCATTAGGCCCAGCCACACAACTGTGCTGTGGCCAGCCCCGTGGCAATAGTTCCATACTTTCCACTAGCGAAGTGCATATACAAATGTTATTGGCCCTTTAAATATTATACAATTTTGTTGATAGTAACTTTTGGCTCTTCCGTCTCAACAGGTTGCCTACCCTGTTTTAGAATAGTGTAGATCAGGGGTCGGCAACCTTTTGAGACGGAAGAGCCAAAGGCTAAAATTTACAAAATTACACAGTTTTTAAAGAACCACTAACATTTTTATTTCAATATTATGGAAATTTGTTTAGGATATATATATATATATATATATATATATATATATATATATATATATATATATATATATATATATATATATATATATATATATATATATATATATATATATATATATATATATATATATATATATATATAATTTAAAATAGACAGCTTTAAATTTGAAATAATATTTATTCATAAAAAAAAATAGGCTACACGTGTTTTGCAAACAAAAAATATTAAAGTATTTTAGGTACCTCTGCTAGATTAAGAAAATCAGTAATCACATTATATAACTATAATTATCGAATACTATTTACAATAGTTTGGACTTGCATGCTTTTAAAAGTTTGTTTAAACCTGGCTCATATTTTGTTTTTTGTTTTCGCATGCCTCTAGATTTTTATTTGTTAGTTGGCTTCTTTACTTTTTATTATATTTATGCAAGAAAAAGCTTTCTCGCATGAATATGTTGACCCGAAGATCGTCAGCACTCCAAATGCCAACTTGTTCACTTCACTCTAGCATCCTGGAAGACTATTCCATCCGTCACATAATAATGACTCGCGCCATTTCTTTTAGAGCTGTCCACTTGTGCAGAGAAACGTGCATGTTTTTCTGGACCACCAACTTGCCAAACTTGCTCTGGAGTTCCTTGATCTTACCACTCCACAAATGTTTGGTTTCCAAATCCAGCAATTTTATTTGAAGCGAACCAGCATCAATTCAAAATAGCTCAAAGTTAATCTCATTTGATTTTGTCTTGAGAGGATCTACGATGAAAGTCAGATTGTTTGCATTTGTTTTGAATTGCTCAAATCTCTCAGTGAATGCATACTTTATTTTGTTTATTGTAATGCTGAAGTAATTCATGTTAATAGTAGCATTGGTTTCATCGTGAATTTATTTTTTAGACTTTTTCGAAATTTAGTAATTTACTGCTTTACGTGTCTTCAATTTAAAATAAACCGGGAGTGATCTCCCCTAAACTTTCTCGAATATTGTTATATAAAATAACAGGGGATGGGAACTTGGGCTATAGACATGATTTTTAATCCATTTTAAGTACTTAAAGTTTTAAAAATAGAATAAAATCTCGTAGACAAAAGAATTGCACACCAAGTGAACGCCAAATAAAAAAGTGCATAATAGTGCGCAATATTATTAGTACTTTAAAAATTTACATTTGTTTTTTGAGAAATCGGAAGTAGCGTAAATTAATACTTCCGGTCAACGGAAATTACTCAAAATTTAACAGAAAGTAGAGAATTAGATCTTTTACTTACGTGTGAAATTTCATTTATCTATCTGAAATAGTACTCAAGTTATAGGCTTTTGAAAAACTCAAAGTAGGAAAAGTACCACTTCCGGTTATCAGAAATCGCTCAAAAGTTTATACGGATCTACGATTTTGATAAAATACTTATATATGAAATTTCATCAACTTAGCTGTAACGGTACTCAAGTTATCGTGTTTACACACGGACACACACACACACAGACAGACAGACAGACACACAGACATACGGACAAGATTGCAAAATTATGTTTTTCCGTATCAGTAAGGTGTAAAACGTCGAGATTTGTCAAAATCTCTATTTTTTTTTGCACGATTACAAGACTTTCTCTATAGCCTACTTTGTATATACGAGAAAGTAAAAAAGAAAGTTTTTTTTTTTTTCGAAACAACCCACTTCTTCAAGTAAGGCATAGGCTGGGTTTACATTTAGCTCGTTTTACATTCAGATCGTTTAGTTTGTGATATCCACCATGAAGTTGAATGTTTCTACTCGGGATGGATAATTTAATAGGAAGTACATTGAAATAGGGAGTAACTAAATATTCTAATAGAATAGCGAGTGTTTATTATTCATATTTATTATTATATCGTTCATTACCGAGTGTTGCAGAACAACATTTTATATGAGTTTTGAAAATAAAATTATTATTAATATTTGTGCATGGAGCTGAACAGCCGCGCCTTTAAATCAAAAGAGCCGCAGGTTGCCGACCGCTGGTGTAGATTTATAGAAGCTTGTAAAAAAACTTTTTTTTTGCTTTTTTTTGTTTGTTTTTTTCCATTTTTTTTTTTTGTTATTCATATGAATAAAACATTCATTCATAAGAACACTGACAAATTTCCATTGAATAACAATAGAAACTGAAAGTTTGCAGTGAAATTGTTTACAGAGCTTGCTATAAGAAAAAGTCCCATTCATATCTACAATCAATCCAAGGTGGCGACCATTTAGCATCCATATATAAATGTGTCCTAAAAAGTCTATTCTCTTCCTTGTGCTGCAACTGTTTTACCTATTTTTTCCATTTTCCCATTTAGCTGTTTTAATGACACTGTCATCTCGTCCAAACACATTTGTCTTGTGAGGCTCTTTGAGGATCCTCCTTACAGTGGCGTAGCCAGGATCGTCTCAAGGGGGGGGGGGTCCAATTTTTACCCGGGGACAAACTTTCGATTTGCACCCCCCCCCCCTCAAACTTTCGGTTTGCACCCCCCTCAAACTTTTGAATTGCACCCCTCTTATACTTTTTATATATACCGGGGGGTCTATGGGGGGGGGTATGACCCCCCTGCCTACGCCACTGCCTCCTTACAACTTTAGCACATATCTGAGAGTAATTTATGTAATTTGGTCCAACTTGTCTCCAGGAGGCGGTCATTTTTAAGGATATTTAGAACGTTGTTTCCAATATAATTTTTTTATGTATGCGAGGACACTTTCAGTGGAACAGAATGTAAAAAAAAAATTTAGTGTTGGAGGGCACAATCTGTGCGTTGACGATTTCAGTAAACTTCCTAAACTCTACAAATAAAATTTATACTTCTGCTAAGGGTTTTATTTTTGCATAAGTTGTAAACAACTATACCTGTATTTATAACTATGAAACTTAGACAAAAATTGTATATGTCAATTAATATTCTTATTTAAAAAACTAAAAATACAGTTATCTATATTTTTAGGATATTATTCTAAACTGCCTCGACTTTTTCAACAACCTTTTGGCACTATTGAGTTGGGTTACCCCCCCTAACTTGTTCGAATTTCTGACAAGGGAAATAACTGACTTATTGATATTCAATTGCAATATCGGAGAGCAATTTAACATTGATTTTATTATAACACTTAAACTTAATCAAAGTTTTATTTTATTGATAGCAACGATAGAAGAAAGTGATCATGTTTTCAAAAAGGCTTCTAAGTCGTCCCTTCTACTTTCAGGCAGAAGCGGATAAGGAATAGTTTTTCGAACTGCCGACAGTAGGCCTACTAGCCTTTTGAGATTTATTATCCATAGAACTCCAGGCTTTTTGGTTAGCAGTCGCAAGTTCTACTTTTTGATCATGCCATCTTTATATATATATATATATATATATATATATATATATATATATATATATATATATATATATATATATATATATATATATATATATATATATATCTGATATATATATATATATATATATATATATATATATATATATATATATATATATATATATATATATATATATATATATATATATATCAGATATAGATATGAACTGTTTCATTTTACAGATGTCACAAGTCCCATACGTCATCTGAACGGCACTGTGGTAACCCTCAACCCAATGGAGATCGTTACTTTACAGGCCAACATTCAGCTTTAGATAGTACTACATTTTTTTAGATTCGGATGTTACTTTATTCGTTAAAATTTATAGTAATGTATGTGTTAGAATGCACTACATTTGTTAGATTTAGTTTTTAGTACCCCTGTTGGGTCTCGACTGTTGTATTTCAAAATCTAATAATAGGCGTTGGATTGTTTTATATTTTGCTTAGATTTTGACTATACTACTTTAAAAGTCCTAATTCAATATTGGATTGTGTCGGGATTTATTTTAGTTTGTCTGTACTATTTCACAATTCTTTGTTTGCCTTGACGTATAGGCCTACATTTCAAGCTGGCATTCCCACTTGAGATTGTCTTTTCTATTATATTCAGGATAACTTATCAGCTGTCATTCTAACGATATATAAAAACGAATAACTATTAAATTATGGGATTTGTTTGTGGGATTTTTTTGTTTTTAATAGTTACTTCATGCAGGTTATAAAGTAAGTTCCCTTTTCAAACCGGTTTCTGTGACCTAGGCGATAGTGTGGTCAGCACTATGCCCAGTCGCTTTTACATACCTCAACGTCAGGTAGGGCCTACTCATCAGACTTATAAAGACTGAAACCCGCTTTCGAACTCGAGGCTTTCGAGTTAGCAGTATAGCGCACTAACACTGTTACGCTGTTCCACATGCAAGTAAAAGAGACCTATTAAGAAATTGTTATTAAACATTGGCAAGCAGATACCCGCTTCTCATCTTAGGAGCACGAGCCCATGATTTGTAACCGATAATGGTGACCAATGAAACGCTCACAATTCTATGACGGCATCACAAAGAATTTTGATTCTAAAATAGTAAACCAAACTGTTTTATTAACACTACCCCCCCACCTCCCAGGGAACTCTTAATGACACGTGCCATGATCATCGATTAGGGCTTCTTGCACAAAGTTGCCCCTAGACGGGGGACACTTGAATCTTTCCAAGTCAGACAATAGTTTACATTTTCTGTTTAGATTTTTTCTCTTTCGTCCTGGTGGAGTGGGTTGGGGGAGAACATGAACGTGTCATAATGTCTTATCTCTTTCTCGTTTGTCCTCAAGCAGATGAAGTAGAGTTCATTAATTTAAACGGTTTCGGCATTTGAAGGTACAGTGTGATCAGCACTCTATCAAGCCGCTACGATTTTCCCTAACGTGAGTCAGGTACCCATTAGAGCTGAGTGGACTCAGGGGCGTACTATAAACTCAAGCTAAGAGACTGTCGGGTTGCCAGGATTTTGTGAGAGATTCGAACTCGAGACTAGCGGATCAGCAGTCATCAGCCCTACCGCCCGACCACGCCGTCTACTTACAATGCCAACAATGAACGCCATGCCTAAAAAAAAATTAATAGTTCCAAAAATAAACCACACAAACGTCATACAACAAGCCTCAGCACTCAAGAGGAGCTAACTGCTGGCAAATATTTCTATCACAATGTGGAGTCAGCAAATACGAGAAGAATAGCTGCTGATGATGTGGGTGGTTTTTTTTTTCCTGATAAATATCGGTTAAGGATTGCGCTAAGAGAAATCAAAACTCCAAAAACCAAAGCATTAGTGTACTAATTGTTAACTAAATACTTCAACACTAAAAAAAAAATAACACAATGAAACTAACGTAAAAGAAAACTACAAGATAACACGAGAATATAACGCAGGACTTCAACAAACCTAATGCATGATATTTCTCTCCTTATTTTAGACTAGTAGCTGGACTTCCGGGAAGATCATTTCTCCCCACTGAGTCAGGGTGTAATATGTTAAAAAAAAGTAAAGTTCCCTTTTCAAACCTGAGGGTCTATAAGGCAAGTGAAGTAGAGTTCACTGGTTTCTGTGACCTCGGCATATGAAGAGATAGTGTGGTCAGCACTATGCCCAGCTGCCTTTACTTTCCCTAACGTGAGTTGGGTGTACTCAGGGACGGAATACTGACTTGAACCCGGATTCGAACTCGAGACTCTACCGCTAGAACACTCCGTCCCCTGTAATATGTTACGTCAAGTTATACTTAGGTGCTATTATAAAAGTGAAACTATTTTCTGGAGCTTTTTTCTTTCCCGCACCGGAGAGTTCATGAGGAGAATGGAGCAGATGTTTGCTGCTTCAGTCAACTAGGTCAGGGGTCTCCTAGGTGAATAAAGAAATAGTGGGGTCGGTTAATAATACCAAAGCTGTTTTTTTAATGTCCCCAACATTAAGCATTGACCTCAGTATCGTTGCTTGGACTCACAGATATGGTGTGTGTGTGTGTGTATGTATGTGTCTGTGTGTGTGTCTGTGTATGTCTGCCTTTGTTTGTGTGTGTGTGCGTATGTGTGTGCGCGCGCGTGTGTGTGTATGTATGTGTCTGTGTCTGTGTGTGTGTCTGTGTATGTCTGTCTGTCTGTGTTCGTGTGTGTGTGTGTCTGTGTGTCTGTATCTGTGTGCGTGCGCGCGCGCGTGTGTGTGTTTTTTTTGTGTATGTGTTTGTCTGTGTGTGTATGCATGTGTGTGTCTGTGTGTGTCTGTGTCTGTGTGTATCTCTCTGTAAGTCTGTCTCTCTAGAACTCTATCTGTGTGTTAGTGTGTGTGTGTGCGTGTGTTTGCATGTGTGTGTATGTGTAAATATTAATTTTATCTTGAATGTTTAACTTCAGTGTTTACAGAATTCCGTACATTAAAAATGAAGAGAAGATAATCTAAACATGAAGCCTAGACTAAGATTTTTTTATGTCTAATTCGGTTAATTACATTTGGCTTACAATTTCTCGAGGAGAAGTAAAAATTAAGAATATGGCGAAAACGAACCTTTGACCTTTAATGCAGTTTTTTTTTACTTTATTCATTGCATAACATTGATTAAATTTATCCGCGCTTTTGGAAATTGTGGAAATAGTGAAAAAAATAAATTAGCAGAGTCACTTTCTTAAAAAGAAAACACAAAATTTCAGGAAACAGGGTTGTAATAATATTATATAACGATCTTTCAAAAGTTCTTCCGCACCGACTTAAAATGAAAGACTGTTATATATTTTACGTAAATTTAATAACATAACGTAATATTAATGAATACTAATTATAGTTTCTTTTTTTAAACGTGTTTTTTTTCACCTTCTTTTTCTCGGTCATCAATTTGCAAGTCTGATTTTCGCTTCACGCGTACAGGAATAGATTGACTAGATGACAAGTGAGACTGACATTTAGATAGCAAAAAAAAAAAAAAAAAAAAAAAAAACAAACAAAAAAAAAACAAAAAAAAACAACGATTATAAGTGTCAAGTACGTCCCGATATAGCGCGGATGAGTCGTCTAGTTAGACAAGTGATATGCGCAAACCGGTCTTTTGGCTGGGTTATACATGAAATCAATGAAGGTTGTGAAATTACCTGGAAAACTAAAGCTAAAAGAGAAGTTTCACAGGTAAGGTTTATAGTAGGTTTATTTTATTTAAACACAATATATTGGTTACTCTAGGAGACATATAGAAATAGTATAAAAGTAAAAAGAAAATACTACAAAGTACTTCAAACATTAGTAACCCTTACTTGTCTATCCGCCTGTTTTTTTGTTTTTTTTTCTAAAGCCAGTTAACGCTAGTTAACCTATTTTGTCGGTACTAGTTAACCCTCTTCGTCCCATACACTAACTTGTTCCCTCTTGTAACTATTTAACCCTCTTCGTCCTATACATTTGTTGTCTCTTGTAACTATTTAACCCTCTTCGTCCTATACATTTATTCTCTCTTGTAACTATTTAACCCTCTTCGTCCCATACATTTGTTGTCTCTTGTAACTATTTAACTCTCTTCGTCCTATACATTTATTCTCTCTTGTAACTATTTAACCCTCTTCGTCCCATACATTTGTTGTCTCTTGTAACTATTTAACCCTCTTCGTCCTATACATTTATTCTCTCTTGTAACTATTTAACTCTCTTCGTTCAATACATTTATTCTCTCTTGTAACTATTTAACCCTCTTCGTCCCATACATTTGTTGTCTCTTGTAACTATTTAACCCTCTTCGTCCTATACATTTGTTGTCTCTTGTAACTATTTAACCCTCTTCGTCCTATACATTTATTCTCTCTTGTAACTATTTAACCCTCTTCGTCCCATACATTTGTTGTCTCTTGTAACTATTTAACCCTCTTCGTCCTATACATTTATTCTCTCTTGTAACTATTTAACCCTCTTCGTCCCATACATTTGTTGTCTCTTGTAACTATTTAACCCTCTTCGTCCCATACATTTGTTGTCTCTTGTAACTATTTAACCCTCTTCGTCCCATACACTAACTTGTTCCCTCTTGTAACTATTTAACCCTCTTCGTCCCATAGAATTGTTCCTTCTTGCTATGAGTTAGCCCTAGATTTCCCTTACACCTTTTCAATATTGTTACTCTTTTCTTCTTCTTCGCCCTTAATTGTAATATTGGAAAGGATTTCCTCCAATACAATTAAGTAATACGTGTCAACTTGTTATGCGCCAAATAGGCCGTTGACTATGATTTCAGCCTGATTCTCTTTCTGGATATTCTTCCACAGCATTTGTCCAAACAAGAACAAACTACAAGGCACCAGTTGTTTAATGTTGGAGTTGTCTCTCATAGAAGAGTGGCTGTTCCGAACCACAGAGCCTCATCTGCCCGGTGATTCGAACTCAGGACTTTTCGGTTAAGCTACCGAGCCTTGTCGTCTAACCCCCCCCCCCCCCCCCCACACCCTCATCATGTTGTTACCAAGTTAACCCTCTTTTCCCCAGACACCATTATATTTATTATGGACAAAATATAAAAAATGTCAGCGCTATATAGACAATGGCAAGACACGACATAAAATAGCAGGAAAATATAGAAAATGGCAAGGCACGATATAAAATAGCAGGAAAATATAGAAAATGGCAAGGCACGATATAAAATAGCAGGAAAATATAGAAAATGGCAAGGCAAGATATAAAATGCAAAATAATTGCATATTGGTGCACAGATAACAATAGGAATGCAAATCGTGGTTAAGAAATGGCGATGGACGAGGCACACTTACAGGAAAGATAACGGCAGCAGAGCATAACATACCTTTGGATGGAACCTTCAGGAGAAACGATACGACAAAGAGGTAGACCCAAGAATATATGGCTAAGTACGTGTCGTATGAGGTTGAAAGGATTGGAAGAAATTGGGAACAGCTGGAAAAATTACAGAAGGTCATGAGAAATGAAAAGCTTTGATAGAGGCCATG